AGCTGTGTGGCTTTGTTAATAGTCTGTCCTAGAATGCGGTAAGATGTGCCCTTTTGTTTTTTGTTGAGCACCTGCCCCGTTAGTGGTCTTTGCACGGCCCTGTCCCTTAGGATTTGTTGCTGCACGTTTGCGCAGTGTGAAGGAAAGAGGAGACCAGCTGCACAGGCAGGCTGCGAAATGAGATGCAGGTGATCAGTTTGTGTGATCGGAAACAAGAGACCGTGATTGGCGATCACCGATCATACACTTTTTCACGGAAATCGGCTGATTATTATCAGTGGCCGATCAATCGGCACACCTCTATTAATAATACATTGGCTCTGATTATGGCATTATTTCAATAAGATCATTTAGAAATGATGGAAGACTTGGACCAATGCACAAATTCTTCTACAGCACCACACAAAGATTCTGAATAGGGTTAAGGTCTCTGTGGTGACAATTCTATGGTAAAATGATTTCTCATGCTCCTTCAACCGCTTTTGCACATCTTGAGCCACTAAGATTCTGGAATAATTATATTTTAATATGCCTATGCCACTAGAGAAGCTGATGGAATTACCAGGCTGTTCTGGATATTCAGCTAATGAGATGACTGGAGCACATTTTGTTGTGCTCCATTTTGTTAACTTTTTTTTTTAAACCACAGAATGTGTTTGGAACATAGTTTAAAAAATTAGGAGCTACTCACTGTAATCACAGTGAAAATAAGACGGCAATCCTCACCTGGAGTTCATATTTAGAAATTGTAAACATCTGTATGGAGACCAAGACTTTTTGCACATAAAACAAACAAACAAACAAACAAACAAAAAAACATGGCTCACTCTTGGCTGAGGAAGCTTTGCTAGACTGAGGAAGACATCACCCTCCAGTTGCAGAGGATCACTAAAGAAAACATGGTAACACTTTATCTGTGGGTGCATGCATAAGACTGACATGACACCATCATAAACATGACATAACACCTGTCATGAACATGAAAGAGTCTTTATGAATGTTTGACTGTTGTCATGCTGTGTAATTTGGTAAATAATGACACTTTTAATGCAAAGTTGTTTTAAAAGTTGCAATAAAAGTCCATTAAAAGTGCCATATCAGTCTTATGCATACCCCTTCAAATAAAGATTTAACTAAAACATTCAGAAAAACTACCAAAAGCACAGAAACTGTGCAGGGTTGAATACATCTGCATGGACCCATGTAGATCCCATGCAGCTCAATATGTAAAACATGTTTTCACAGTTTGTTTTGAAACACAATTTATTTTAATATAAGATGAGGTTTTTTTTTTTGGTCTATTTGATTTATTTGTCCCTCAGTGGAAAAAAAATATTTGTACCAACACCAAACTGATAGGTTTGGCAGAGTCGTACCGGTTGCACCAGGACGTTGTTTTTTCCGTACAGCAGGTGTGTTCTGGAGTTCTGATGAAGGGACTCCACATACTCTCTCGCAGATGCAGCAAACCTGTCTTCTGACATGCTCCCACTGGACTGCCTCTTACGGATCTGATAAAAGATGTTCACCCTTTATTTACAACAGGATGTCTCTCTAACAGCAAATATCCTCAGATTTGATCTAAATCCTCCTCCAGACTCACCCCCAGAGCTGGTCGACGGCCAGATGACACATCTAGGCTGCGGTGGGCCCCGTGGATACGGTGGCGCTGAACCAGCTCATTGGCTGATGGGTCCGTCCAGAAATGATCGGAAGTTTTCAGCTTAGTGTACTCCAGGGCACAGGGCCCCACTGCAGATACAGAATACAAGCAGAAAATGCACATAACAGGAATTTGTTCAGTTTAAACCTTCTAAAATATGGGAAGGGTGATCAGGAAATGTTCATTTCTCATTAAAGTAGTTGCATAACTTCATCACAAGAACAACTATGGGGTGCAGTTTGTAAAGTTACACGATAATAAATGTAATTAAGTATTTAGTTTGGAAAAAAATATCTAGTTTGAAAATTAAATGTTTAGTTTGGATATTAAATGTATAGTTTGGAAAATAAATATTTTGTCAGGACTCTGGATTTTTGGATTTGGTTTTGCTTTTGTATCTTATTTATCATTATTCTTTAGTTACCTTAGGTTCTGTTATTCTTGTATGCCTGAGTCTATGTCTAGCTTTCTTTAGTGATTGTAGTTAGATTAATTTTATTTAATTATTCTAGTTATTCCTTATATCATGCTCCCTGTAGTATTTCTAATAATGTTTATTTCTTAGTTATTTCATCACCCTAGGTTCAGTTATTCTTATATGTCTGATTTATGTATACCTTTCTTTCGTAGTTCCAGTTAAGTTATTAAGTCCTTCTAGCTTCCCCCTGTAGTGTTTCTAGCTTTTCTTATCTGGTTACTTTAGATTGAGTTCTGTTATGTCTGCATCCATACCCATCTTCCTTTAGGAAGATGGGTATGGATGCAGATACCCATACCCATCTTCCTTTAGGAAGATGGGTATGGGTATCCTAGTTAGGATATTTCTTAAGTCCTTCTAGCTTCCCCTCATAGTATTTCTAGTTTTCTTTCTTTTTTTTCTTTTTTTTTTACTTTAGGTTTAGTTAATCTTTTGGTCTGAATCTTTGTCCATCTTTCTTTAGTGATTTTAGTTAGGTTATTTCTTTGTTTTGATCTTCTAGTTATTCTAGCTCTATGTCCCTTAGTTCTTATTGTTGTTAGATCAGCCTTGTTTCTGTTTAGGTTTGTTTAAGTTTTTCCTTCATGTCTTTTTCTCTTCTAGCTTATCAGGTTTTTTTTTTTCGTATGATAAGTATTTTCAGCTCCCTTTTGTCTTCCGCAGTATATGTCCTTGGCTTCCCTGTGCCATCTTCTCCCCGCCCCTCATCTAGCTCCTGTGCCAACTACTCATACCTGCAATCAATCTTCTCATCTAGTTAGGTCCATTGTTCCGTTTGCTACCTCCCAGTATTTAAGCTCCTCTATCTCTCCTCTATCTCAGTCACAACTCACCAGCCTGCCTTGTTACCCCGCTCATCATTAGTCACCTGCCTCGTCTCTTCCTGTGACTTTGTTTTTGGATTTTGTTTTCATAGGTTCATATTTTTGTAAGTTTGATTCTTTGTTTTGCTTCTTCATTAAATCTTTAAATGAAACTCCATCATGTCACTCGCCTGCTGCTTTTGGGTCCACACCTCAACTACATCATGACATATTTACTCAGTTAAAAAAACTAAATATTTAATTTGGAGCAAAATATTTAGCTTGAAAATAAATATTTAGCTTGTGAACTAAACACTCAGTTTGGAACTATAATATTTATAAATGTATGAATTGCATGGTGAGAATATGACTGAAATATAAACACCCATTTTTTTCTGTGTGATCTTACAAATTTCATAAATAACTGCACACAAAATATGTGTTTTTCAAGCATTAGTTACTCACCAAGCAAGGCTGCTAAGATGGGCCCAAAGACTGGGTCATGCATTAGAGCTTCCCTTTCATAGTATTTACTGCAGAGATAAAATGAAATGAAAGGACCAGTGTTAGCGTGTGTTTTCTGTGTGAAGGGAAGATGTCCTGTAAAGGTACATGAATGATCGCTGGAACTGCAGGAGTTTTTAGAGACTTTGCTTTTACTTAAGTGTGAGCAAATGTAGAAAACTAACAGGCTCAACATGTTTATGAATATAGCTTTCAGATGGGAAAAAGGAAAGGTTAAAAAAGTATCTAACAAAAAGACTTATTTTATCTAAAATATGTTTGATGTAATATATGTTACATATGTTTGATGTAATACATACATAAAACCACAAGGTCTGCAGGGCAAAAAAATGACATCCTCCATTTCCCTGAATCTGATATTCTACTAAAACTATATATATATAACCAACATATTCAGATTTTTTTTTTTCAAAACTACTATATTATAAAACCTTGGGCTCAAAATTATGACTAAAAGAGAACACATGCTAAAGTGACAAATCAACTAAATCAGTCTTTGTTTTCCTTTTTGTTTATTGTTTTTTCTTTTTTTTTTTTTGCTACAAATATCTTTTTAAGGATCAAGCATTGTTTCTGACATTTTAGCTTTTGGTTTTGCTATGCAGTGTGTGCCTCTTATGTGCCATCAAGTTACCAAAACCTTCTGTTGTCCATGAACAAACAGTGCACACATTGTTTGTAGTGGTGAAATTTGTTAGCAGCTCTGGTTGTGGTTGTGGTTCTGGCGTTAAAATTAATTTACAAGTCCCTTATTGAATCCATCCAAATATGTAATATTTCCTCCTGTTACATTTTAACAACAATAAAACACACCATCACTGGATCAGGTCAAAGTTCATCTGTCTCAGCTGTACAATCCCTCTGTCATGATAGCTACTGATCACACAGAAGACTAATTACAGTGTAAAACCCAATGCTGCTTCTTACTAATAAGGAGTTAGTTATCTGTACTCATATCAGCTAAGAGTAACTTTTATAAATTGAGTTGAGTAGATCCAAAACTAACAGTTTGATTTTCTAAATCATTTACAATAAATAAACATATGCTTATCATTTATTTTGAGTATTGTTTCTTTGAACTGTTTTAAGTTGTGATGACTGACTCAGACCAAAGAAATAAACCCCCTCCTTTTTCTGACGTCATTACTGAGCTTTGCACACAATGCTGAGGTGTTTTCACTGGACTTGTTGGCTGTTGGCCTTTAGAGAAAAGTTTCAACAAAGAATTTTAGCAACTTTAGTGTGAAAATTACAATGTAGGTGTTTTTTCTTTAATTCTTCTAAATGCTTATATAGAACTTGAAGGTAAATTTATTGGGCTACCTCGCTGATTTGCAGAAAAATGGGCTATGCATGGAGCATACTAGCGCAGCTGCTGCCTAGTATTGCTTAAAGTCAGCCTAGATAAATTTAGAATACAGTATAGCAGTTGGTGGCTTATTTGGGGAAATAGTTAAATAACTTACTATTTCAAACCTACATAGCACACAACGTCACGGTAAAGTAGAGTTTAATAATTTTAACTACAGATTTTCTAGTCCAAATGTATAAACAGCGTGTGTGAACATAGATTTTTTTATTTAGGAACCGCTTGCATCTCCACTCCACCACGCACTGACTCTGCAGAATATTACTGTTAATGAGCGTGTTTACTCTGCCTTCACATGGTGGTGCAGTGCACATCCATCCATCCATCCACCCATTTTCTACACATTCATATCCCTAGTGGGGTCGTGAGGTTTGCTGGTGCCTATCTTCAGCTAACGTTCCGGGCAAGAGGCGGGGTACACCCTAGACAGGTTGCCAGTCTGTCGCAGGGCAACACCAAGACAGACAGGACAAACAACCATGCACACATACACCTAGGGAGAATTTAGATAAACCAATTAACCTGACAGTCATGTTTTTGGACTGTGGGAGAAGGCTGGAGTACCCGGAGAGAACCCATGCATGCACAGGGAGAACATGCAAACACCATGCAGAAGTCAAGTCAAGTCAAGTGTACTTTATTGTCAAAGATCTATGTAAAAGGGTTAATACAGAAGTTTGAAATTGCGTTTCACCAGTCTCCAACGTGCAGTTAAACTAAACATATAAACATATAAATAAGACATTGACAGTAACCCACCCACCCCCACACACACACCCTGCAATACACTGTGCAATAAGAAGACAATAGGGCAATAAGAAGAAGATATAGATGGACAATAAATACACAAACACACACACACAGTGCAATAAGAAGACTAACATACTGATGGACAATAATATACACAAAAATAAACACACACACATAGCAGCAGAATGCAATCAGTGGACATACAGGTAATGTGAGGTAATGCAGATGTTGTATGCAAGGTACAAAGAGCAAAGTGCAAGTGGTGTGTGAAAGAAATTTTTATGAAATGTTCTCCAGTGTCCTTGAAATGTTCATTTAGTTTACTTCCATGTGTTGATGAGTCTGATGGCTTGTGGAAAGAAGCTGTTTCCCAGTCTGCTTGTGCGACACCGCAAGCTGCAGTAGCGCTTCCTTGATGGTAGTAGGGAGAACAGTTTGTGTGCTGGGTGAATGGGGTCTCTCATTATGTTCATTGCTCTCTTGGAACAGTGTGAAGTGTATAGGTCCTGACTGGCTGGTCGAGGTGATCTGATGATCTTTTCTGCGGTCCTCACCATCATCTGGAGTGCCTTCTTGTCTATAGCTAGACAGCTGCCGTGCCAGACAGAGAGGCTGCTGGTCAAGATGTTTTCAATGGCATCCCTGTAGAAGGTGGTGAGAGCAGATGTGGGGAGGTTGGCTCTTCTTAGCCTCTGCAGGAAGTGGAGTCGTGTCTGAGCCTTTGTGACTAGGGAGGTGGTGTTTGTAGTCCATGTGAGGTTATCTGTGATGTGCACTCCAAGGAACTTTGTGCTTTTCACAGACTCCACAGCACTGCCATTGATGATGAGTGGGATGTGAGTTGTTTTTTCTTTCCTGAAGTCCACAGTTATTTCTTTTGTTTTGTTGACATTGAGTAGCAGATTGTTTCTCTCACACCAGTTGATGAGTTGATGTGCCTCCTCTCTGTACGCTGAGTCATCGTTGTCTCTGATGAGGCCCACCAATGTCGTGTCATCTGCGAATTTGATGATGTGATTCGTTTCAAATCTGGCACTGCAGTCGTGGGTCATCAGCGTGAACGGCAGGGGAGATAGCACACATCCTTGTGGCACCCCAGTTTTTATGATGCTGGTCACAGAGGAGTTGTTTCCAACTCTGACTGTCTGCAGTCTGTTAGAAAGGCCAGTAGCCAGTTGCATAGTGAAGTGCTGATGCCTATTGAAGTCAGCTTGTTCACCAGATGTTGGGGGATGACAGTGTTGAAGACAGAGCTGAAGTCAATGAACAGCAACCGTGCGTGACTGTTTTTATTCTCCAGATGAGCCAGGCAGAGGTGAAGTGCTGTTGCTATGGCGTCATCAGTGGAGCGTTTGGGGCAGTAGGCAAATTGATATGGATCCAGAGTAGGGAGTGTGGATGTTAAGTGGGTCTTTACCAGTCTTTCAAAGCACTTCATCAAGATCGTAGTGAGTGCTATAGGTCTGTAGTCGTTGAGTGATGATGCTGGTGACTTCTTGGGTAATGGTATGATGGTGGTGGCTTTGAAGCTTGGTGGTATGATGGCTTGGCTCGGAGAGATGTCGTAGATGTCTGTGAGGACGTCAGTGAGTGAGTCAGCACAGTCTCTGAGGTATGTTGTCTGGACCTGCAGCTTTCCTGGGGTTCACCTTGAGTAGGGTCCTCCTCAAGTTCACTGGGTCCAGTTGAAGTGTTGTGCTGTCTGGGTTGACTGGGGCTTTTGTAGGTGTTGTAGTGTTAATTTCTTCAAACCAGCTGAAAAAAGTGTTCAGTGAGTTGAGGAAGTCTGTGTTGTCCTCACACGGTAGGGGGGCTGGCTTGTAGTCTGTGACTGACTGGATGCCTTGCCGCAGGCGTCTTGGGTCTTTTGTGACTGTGAAGTGTGAGTTGATTTTTTGTCCATAAGCACGCTTGGCTGCTCTCACACCCTAGAGCAAGTTGGCCCTGGCTGACTTGAGGGCCTCCTTGTCTCCAGACCTGAAGGCAACTTTGTGTGCTCTCAGGAGCTCACGTACCTCCCTGGTGAACCAGGATTTTTCGTTTGCTCTCACTGTAATCTCCTTGGTGACCGTTACATCTTCCATTCATTTTGTTATGTATCCAGTTACTGAGTCTGTGTATTCAGTGAGGTTGACGTCCTGGTTGGTGGTGGCCGCGTCCCTGAAAACAGACCAGTCTGTGTGTTCAAAACAGTCCTGTAGTGCTGTTGTGGCGCCCTCTGGCCAGGCCCTGATCTGTTTCACAGTTGGTTTGCTTCTTGTCAACAGAGGTCTGTAGGCTGGAATTAGCATAACAGAGAGATGGTCTGATGAACCCAGGTGGGGGTGGGGAACTGCTCTGAAAGTCTGCCTGATGTTGGTGTAGACCTGGTCAAGTGTGTTCTCCCCTCTTGTTGCAAAGTTCACACACTTGTGGTAGTGTGGCATTACTGTTTTTAAATTGGCCTGATTAAAATCGCCAGCGGGGTGTGTGTTTTGTGATGTACTTACAGAGCGGTACAGAATGGAGAGTGCTTCCTTTGTGTTCGCGCTGGGGGGGATGTAAACAGCTGTGATGTTGACGGTATTGAATTCTCTCGGAAGGTAAAATGGGCGGCATTTGAGAGTTAAAAATTCAATGTTCTCTGAGCAGTGGCTAGCGATAACTGTAGCGTTTGTACACCAGTGGTTGTTGATGTAAATGCACACACCTCCTCCCCGAAATTTACTCATGCTGGCGTGGTTTCTGTCCGCACATAATGTTGTAAGCCCGGGGCCAGGAGTCAAACCCAGAACCTTCTTGCTGCAAGGCAACAGTGCTACCAACTGCGCCACTGTGCAGCCCACGCAGTGCACAGCACCTCTGTAAGAGCCATATGAATGAAATGAATGATTATTGAGGTGACGGGAG